CGTATTTTGGAAATGTTGAGTCGGATTAGTCTAGAATCGATTAATTTTATGGAAGAAAACCTTTCAATCAGCCGTAGTCCGTAAACTTTACACGTGTCGGGCTGTGATTGGAACGACTCGTAAGAAATCGGATTCCTAAAAAATGGAGCGTATCTATGATCTTATAGGGGGGTCGACTGTAATTAATTAATTCAAACGATTGGGTTTCGTTTTCATCCTAACTTTAAATATAAATTAATTAAGTTAAGATTTTACTTTTTGCATAAATTTTCATACTTATTTTGAATATTTCTTTAACATATTTCATACACGAAGAGAATAATTGAATAAAATAATTAAAGCTTATCGTTTATTCAATAAATAATATAAACTTAAAATAAATCAGAGACCATATTCTGGTCAGTTATCTCTCGTTTCTTCTTTCACCGTCAAATCGAAAAACGAAATTCGTCTCTCATACACATTGTCGATTCTGGTGATTCGTAACTATTTCGTCTTTGTTGTTGACGTCACGATTCTATTTGGTTGGTTATACACGTTCGGGTTATTTGCGCGCGCAACACGGTATAGGATTTTAACTAATGAAATTGTAAAATTTTCGAAAATGCGGAGTACGTAATTATAGCTTACGCGGAAAGGAACCCATGTGTTCAAATCAGGGCTGTGGAGTCGGAGTCGTGGAGTTTTAGTGTTTTAGCCGGAGTTGAAGTCAGAGTCGGAGTCGTGGAGTTTTAGTGTTTTAGCCGGAGTCGGAGTCGTCAAAAAATCCGCCGACTCCGACTCTTTTTTACAGTCGACCCCCCTATAATTACGGTCCCTATAATTACGATTCCTATAAAACTACAAAAAAATATACGTATTTTGGAAATGTTGAGTCGGATTAGTGTAGAATCGATTAATTTTATGGAAGAAAACCTTTCAATCAGCCGTAGTCCGTAAACTTGACACGTGTCGGGCTGTGATTGGAACGACTTGTAAGAAATCGGATTCCTAATAAATTGGAACGTATCTATATCTTATAGGGGGGTCGACTGTACTTAACAACTTCTTATGTACATAAAACGGAAAAGTATTGGAATCGTGTCAAATTTGAATCTCCAAGTTTTTTTGCAAATCTACACGTTTGGAGACCTCCCGATCTCCTCAAAAAAGCCAATCAAGGGGAAAAATTTGCGCGCATGTGTGTGTTGGCGTCTAATTTGTTTAATTTCTTTATTTTCTGTTTTGAGATATTAAAGAATATCTCAGAACGGGTAAAGTTTAAGAAACGAAATGTGGCACTGTAGCTTGCGTATAAAGAGGCATTAATACTATTAAATTTTGGTTCTTAATTAAAGATCGACAAGGTAAAGACATAAAAGTGGCCATGTGTCATATCTCTTAATGAATATTTACTCGTTATTAACGTTCAAAATTTAAAAAAAATAGAATAAAACTCGTCTCTACCCTCAAAGTAAGCTTTTTTTGCCATTTTATAATAGTACAGTAAAACCCGTTAAGATGTTCTCTCTTAAGACGGTAGAATGTATATGGGGACACGATTTAGTTCAACCTCTTTGACTTAAATAACTAACTCCTGTGTTAAACCATCTGACTTTGATTCTGACCACTTTGACCACAGAAATTATTAGGCTTCAAACAGGGTGAACAAAATCATGCCACCCACACACAGTCTATCATCCACACACAGAAAAAATCTCGAATCTTTTGCATATCTCGAAATTTCAAGGTGTCTGAGTCCAAAAATGTAAAAATTTGGCAGGGGTCATTTTTTGACCGAGCGCTATACTTTTCCTCTGTTATATAGCCTATAACAGCCGGAAAAGTATAAATTATCGAATACATATTTATATATTACTTAGAAAAGTCTTCTAGCTTTGCAGTAAAAATTTTCTATGCTTTATCTTTATTAGAACTCTATTTATTGAATCTTTTATTCTGAGGTCACGTGATGACATCACGTGACCTTTTATTCTGAGGTCCGTCCCTGGTCGGAGTCGGAGTTGGAGTCGGTAGATTTTTACACGACTTCACAGCTCTGGTTCAAATAAAGCACGTAATTTCGACAAATTTTTTTTTGTTTTATAACGTTTTTACAGACGGTAATGTCAATTTGTGTTTTAACAAATAAGAATTTTAATAACCTAAGTTAGAAAAGGTGCGTACTCGGATATTTTTCGAAATATTACCGTCTAATTTATCCTTAACTATCTAAGTAAGATTAACATCATATTCGATTGTTCAGTAATTGATGTAAGATAATTTAAAAAAAAAACAATGGAATCAGTGATGTTTCCGAGTAGGCACTGGAAGAAATCGTACGCATTTTTTCTCCGACGTTTTCAACGCAAAAACGTGTACGTCGGACGTTCAGCGCCGCCTTCTTGTGAGCCTTGAGGTTTGACAACGGCGTTTAGAACGTCAAGCACGATTCTACCGACGTTCCAAACGCCATTGTCAAACTTCTAGGCTCACAGGACGGCGGCGCTGAACGTCCGACGTACACGTTTTTGCGTTGAAAACGTCGGCCGCAACCTCTCTATTCACTCGAGACGTAAACAAATGATTAGCCAATCAGCGACCGGCTTGTGAGAGACGACAGACGATGACCAGAATACGGCACAACTTTGCTTATAATACGTTTTATTGGTCTCATTAATACGAATTTATTCGTATCAATGAAAACTATATATATATTACATAATCAAAGAAAGCTCATAATTTAATGCGGAGCACGCGGTCGTTGTAAAAATCGTTTGTTGTTATATTTATATTTGTATTTGTTTTATTTATTTTACTGTGTTGTATGTTATTTTATTATAATTTGTTTGATTCGGTATTTAATGGTCTATTTAAATGGTTTCTATTTCTTTTATTTTGAATTTAGCATAATTTAAATTCCTTAGTGATTCGATAACAACAATCGGAAACGAACTAATGTAAAGTTTCGTATAGCATCAAAACCCTAATGATGACCCATTGAGTGAGTTGAAAACGTTTGTTCAACGTAATAGATAAAGTCTCTCAGTAGTAAGGTATGTTTCATATACAATATATATTATTTAGTTAATTTTAGAATTATACATTTGAATGAATTTTTAAAATAAAAGTGAATTTTTCTCAACATTAATTTAATTAATTAATAGTATTAAACAGAATTATTCCAAGACGATTAATTTTTTTAAAGTTTTGATTCTGTCCGCAAGGAAGACCCTTTCATTACTGCGGAGACAGATTCGTAACAAAACTCTACGCAGTGATGTTTTCAAAGGTGATCGGGACTCGAACAAGAGTCTTCCTGAGCGGCGGGCTGGCACACGACTATGACATAATTGATGGCAGTAGTAACTTTGCCGTCGATTAATTTGTCAGTCACGCGCGATTCGGGTCTAAAAGCATCCTCAGTTTTTCTTATTCAGTTCACTGAAATGCAAACTGTTCGTAGGGCAAAAATCACTTCAATGTATTATAATGTAAAAGTTATCTCAAATAAAAATGATACCTAAGAAATTATGTCCCGCAATGTTTAACTCGTATTTATTTCACTTTAAGTTTAGAAGTTAATGGTCTGTGTGATATATCTATTTTTCAAATAAAAACTTTTCGTTATTAATTAAAGTTTTTTACTGTTTATGATATTAAAAAAGCGGAGTTTACAGTAAATTCGCTTATTGTAATAACTTTCGGATTCACCAATAAAGCGAGTGAGAATAATTGACCTTTGTGTGAACACGACTGAATACAGTAATATCCCGAACTTACGCGATAGGTGGTAACCGCGTAAGTCAAAATCGCGTAAGTCGGAGTATAATTTCACATATAAATACATACAAATAATTTTTAATTGGGGCCGGAGACTAAAGAAAACAATAATTTAGAAAAAAAAATGTTTAATAAAATCTTAGATAATACATATGTATAACAAATTAGGCCTATATTATTTTACAATTTTTCACATTTACTTGATTATTACGCCATAATTTTAACATTGTTTCCATCTCAGCGATAATACTGTGACGTTTACGAATGATGCTTGAATTTAAAGATTGAGCATTTTTCACAGCTTCGAGAATTTTTTCTTTGCCTTTTATAATTGTTCTGACCGACAATTCCGGTAGATCAAACTTCTTTGCCAATTCACAAATTTTCATTTTTGTATCGAAGTCTTTAATAATGGGTACGTTCGTAGTCAAACGAGTTAAACGCGTTAGTAACGAATCGTTCGAAAAGTCTAACGAAATAGGAATAACGATGACGTCATTCTCGTTTCCTTTACGACTCGTTCGACTTTACGAACGTACCCAATGTTAACTTTACATTCCAAAGATAAAGTTTTTCTGTTTTTGTTTGATGCGGAAGAATTAGTTCTAGTTTGTTTGGATGACATAGTAGAGTTTCTCGAGTCTCCGTAGATATAACAAACAAGAAATAAATAACACAAAATAAATTGTAGCTGTGTGTGAATTCCGCGCGACACATCCGAACATGTAAGCTGAACAATAGTGTGGGTAGAGTGAATAATCAAAGGTTGCGTGGCGCTCAAAGAAAAGACGAATCGACGAGATTTGAATATCGTGTAACTCCGAATTCGCGTAAGTCGGGGTAGCGTAAGTCGAAATATTACTGTATGCTTCAAACACAATTGAAAATATCACAAATTAGTATCATCTTTGTATTGCTGATTCGAAACGTTGGCCATTGTTAAAAATTTTAAACTTTTTTACTGTTTATGATTTTAAAAAAACGACTTTTACAGTAAAATTCAATTGTTGTAATCACTTTCAAATCTGCCAATAAAGTGAGTGACAATAATTAATCTTCGTGCAAACACAATTACTTGTCATGTAGAAACATGACAAGTAATCGTGACAAGAAATCGTTAGAATACACTTATTCTAACAATAAACGAATTATCCGTATATAATAGAAATAAATGTTATCGCCCTATATAAATGACACGAACTTAAACAAGTAAAAATAACCATATTACTTTTTAATCAATGAAATTTGTATTTATTCTAGAAACCATTTTTTTTTTTCGGTACATAAAATCTACAGTTTAATGTATAAAATAAAAGTTACAAAACGAAGAAATTTAAAATACGAGCATTACATATTTTTCGAAGAAATGTACTAAAATCATTTCCATAAAAGTCATTATTCATTACTATTATGATGTTTAGTAATATGATACTTTAAATAACGTTTAAAACGAAATTTTTGTGAGCAATGATTACACGAAAATAGTTTTTCTCCGGTGTGAATACGAAGATGTCGTATCAGATTAGGTTTTTGCGTAAAAATTCGCATGCAAAGGTCGCAAGAAAAAGGCTTCTCTCCCGTGTGAGTTCGGAAATGTCGAATCAGATTTCTTTTCAGTGTAAAACATTGCTTGCAATGATCACAGGCAAACGGTTTGTCTCCAGTGTGAATCCTTCGATGATATTTTAACCCATTTTTCGAAACGAATTCTTTCTCGCAACTGCCATATCGATACTTCCCATTTCTTGACTTCTGATTGTTTAAACCTAAAAAATAAAACAAATAAAAATATTAAAAGCAGTCTAGATCGAAGCTTTCTGCAATTTAGTGCCAATCAAATATTTAAATTTAAACACACTATTTTAAAAGTATTGTTAAGTTTTGGATGTAGATAGAAAAAAAATCAACTTTTTCTAATAAGTTTTTTACATAAAATTTAAAGGTTAAACCAACACGAAGATTACCACCACACCGGAAACAATAACTATTAAACGAATTACCAAAAAGCATTAACAATATCACAAATTAATATAATTTATGCACCTTCTGAAAACAATATAAATGGAGTTTATTGTGCAAAAATAAAAACAAACAAATATTTGGAAAATAATTTTAAAATATTTTCGTAGATTTCTCAATTATTCTTCACTTGCACGAAAGACGGTTTTTTGTTGATGTATTCTTGTATGATTTCTTAACACTGACTTTAATGTTAACAACAAAAGTCGAACACATCCTTCGACTCTTCTTCTGTTTTCCCGGAAAGAATTCTTCATTTAGTACAGGGGAATGCTCTTGATTGCTTACTGAATCTGAAAGTCACAAAAAATGCCAAATAAAATCGGATACGAGAATGACATCATACATTATTTTCTAAGTGAAATTTAAATATAACAAAATTAATGTAATCATAGAAATTCTTTTTTGGACATTTCTTGCCATAATATAGCTTTATCTGCGATTTTTACAAAGAAAAAAATTAGGTATAAGTGTATTTTACGAAAAATAGTTATATAAACTTTCTATCGGTTTTCCTATTTTACAGCTTTCATTGAAGAGCTAAAAGATATAAAAACTCAATATTATTTTGAATGTTGTTTTTAAAAACACCTTCGGAACAAAGTAGAAATTTACTTACTAATTTTATAAACTTCAGTCAAGAAAGACACGTAAAATACTAAACATACTTGTTACCACAAACACTAAGGCATTCGATACATCACCAAATGTTACCCGAGAAATCTCTTCTGCTCTTTAAAAAAATCTTCCTTTTTTCTTTCTAGAGAAATCGTCACCGATATTTCTTCCTTCCATGAAGATTGTAAATCATGTTAAATTTTAAAAAATCTACACCCGGACTATTGATTATCGAAATAAAATGGCGACGGTTTATGTTCGAAGAAACGATTCACTTACCTGTTTGGACGAGAATTCCTTAAGCTTCCGTTCGTTTCGTCGTGTGGCTGAAAGGACAATACAATCTACACCCTCTGTCTTTACAGACGCAAAAAACTGTGGGCTATCAACACAGTAACATGAAACCTCTGTGGACGTCTTCTGTAACCAAAACAGAACGAAAGTACGTCAGTAGTATTGAGCGAAGTGTAGCCCACTATACATATTCATTGTCGCTTCCTTTTCTGTAGTGACGAAGGACGAACCGATCCCAAGACGATGAAAAAAACGGACACCAAATGGCACGTTTCCTTTGATTTCTTCCTAGAAGATTTAGCTCATCAGATAACAATTTTCAATCTAATCGGTATTTAGGATGAAACGTACTTTAGCATTTCTCTAATCCAAAGTTACACTCGCCGGACTTCGACGAAACCTAACTGTAAATTTTCAAAAAAGAGTGGCGCCATCTAATATTTAAAATTCAAACATTTCTAATTTTTTTTTTTTTCAAACTTTGTGGGTCTAAAATTCAAAAATAATCTTTCATCGAAATAATATTAAAAATGACTTCTGTCGAAACCATTATAAATAATTATTTTGAACCCAATAGTCACAAGCAGTGGTAAAATGTAAACTAAGTGACCAGAAAATCCACGTTTAAACCGTTCTCCATTTTTGTAATTTATTAATTATGAATTATTCGATTTCTGAAACGGGAGGTCCGATATCTTTGACATTCGAGAAATTGCATTCGGTTTAAGATTATTTAATACTTGGATGTGTGGTAATGTGATCGGTGTTTATAATAATTCTATCGTTTTTTAAATGAATGAACTTACCGTGCGGACGTAACACTTCGAATTTATCAAGTCGGGTACAGAAAAACCTTCCATTAAACCGTCTAAAACGGAAGTGATATCCCGATATCCCATTACCTCCTTTTCGTATTACTTCTTTGTTTCGTATAACACGGCAATTTTTTGGAACGTAACTACCGTGTTATAAGGGGGTTACCTGTACGCATAGACATACGTGGACTAGAGAGATGGAGGAAAGAGAAAGGAAAGAGCAAAGACGAGCGCTTAAAAAGGATAGGAAAAGTCAGACCCTCACATGTGTGCGACGATTCTCGAACAAATAGGTGCGTACGTGTGCTGATCTTTGTAATTATGAATTGTGAATACATATGACTAATATTATTTTTTTATATTTTGTGCATGTTATAAGTTATAAAAAAATATAAGCAAACAACACTAACTTAACAACATTAGGGGAGATCGGGGCAAGATCGGCATGTTAAGCTTTACTTAAATTTTGTGTAATAAATACTGCTGTAAACTAAAAAAACCTTTTGCATATTGTCTATTGGAATGTTACCTTACTATACATCTGGTTAAAATCAGTTTGGACATAAAAATAATTAAAATAATTACAACTTTACAAGAAGAGAGAAATTGACGAAGTTGCCCCGGGTATAGGGGCAAGATCGGCAACTTCTCTCTTTTTGTAAAGTTGTAATTATTTTAATTATTTTTATTAAAGTTGCCCCTGGTATAGGGGCAACAGTAATGGGGCAAGATAGGCACGTATATAAAATTATGTTATTAACAATGTATAAGTTGGAATTCACTATTAAAACAAAGAAATACAAATCCAACACCCATTTAATATTATTACAACGAAATGCAAGTTCAAAGACATATATACATGAATAACAAATGC